CAGTAGATGATTCAAATAAGCATGAACCACTAATTTGACAGGGTAGTGATACTTATAATGCAGCAAGCTGTTCTAATTGCTGTTGTGGTAGAGTTTTTCTATTTTTCTGTCAAATGCATTTATTGGTCCATTGAAAAAATGAAAATAATGTTCCCTGTAACTTAGACTCTTATTGATCAAGGCATTTTAAAAATCATGGGTGTTAACTCCCCTCAAGTTATGACCCGTTGTCCCCTACAGAATAATGGTTGCATCTAATATTAAAATAAAGATGGCGGAGTATAGCGTTGATTCATCTCGTTCTACTCTGGATTACTTGAAGTCAATAAAGATCCTAGAAAGTTAGTATTTATATGCCTGTGTGTTTTTTTTGTTTGTTTTTTCACTGTCTTTGACTTTTCCAGTATGTTTGTTGCTGTTGACAACAACTCAGTCCTCTGCCAGGCTTCAGTCAATGTTTTTCTTCACTACCTACCCAACTCCTCGGCGGGCACTATGTAGCTGGTGTGGTATATTTATCACAGACAGTAGGGCAATTGTCACATTTAGTGCTCCAAGAAAATATTCTCTGTCCATGTGTATTTATATAAATAGATGCAGTTTCTTTGGCTTGAATAACATTCACTGGCTTACATACTGGCTTACATACATACAGGTATACTGGTTTACCTGTTTCTAGTTGAAATTTAGCCAATCTTATTAACCAAGACATGTCACAACACTCATTTCCATGTGCCATAGCTTGAAACAAGTAGTCAAATCTGATATTGGCTGGAGCTTTAGTTTATATGGACATGGTAAATGGCAAACTAGATGGTCAGAAAGTAATAAAAATAATCACAGCTTTACTCCACCCACCCCACTATGAAGTAAAAGGCTGTTTATAAGGCCATGTATGATGATTTCATGTTTCTTATGGAAAACAATTTCAATTATAAACTTCTATGCTCCTGTACCCAACCGTGGGGGTCCATCACACTAAACAACAGGTGTCACTATTACTAAGAAAAATGTACTTTTTTTCATTAAAATTACTGATATATATATATATATATATATATATATATATATATATATATATATATATATATAAACGCAAGTTTAAAAAAGGAATTTATACAGTGACTCTAAAAACGAGTTATACCATTCAGAGTTGACAGTCCACAGGATATTAGCATTGTCTGCGCTTCGTTCTTGAACAGTAGTGCATTAACTAGTCTATTGTGAGAGTATTTGAACAGCTGTTTTAAAGGAGGCTACATATAAAGTGTGAATATGGTGGTTGAAGGCTTGTGAAGATTCTGACCTTAACAGAATGTGATGGACCATAACTATAGACGTTGCACAAAAGAACATTCTAATTCGTTCACGTTTCCTACTTGTGTACATATTGTCTGTCTATTTAGTTTTTTTCTAACCATTCAGCTGTGTATTTTATCGTATCACACCGAGTATGTATGTGTCTAATCAGACTGTATGTATATACATTTTTGCCGATCTGAGCTTCTGTATTTGTTCTGACCAGTCCGCTGTGTATTTCATCATATCACACCGAATGTGTATGTGTCTAATCAGACTGTATGTATATGAATTGTTGCCAGATATGAGCTTGTGTATTTTGTCATCAAACCGTGCATGTATGTGTTTATTCAAACTGTATGCATATATGACAAATTTAGCCTAAATAGATTTTACAAAATTTATTATACAAAGACGTACGAGAAGCGTGTGTACATTCATACAATCTTCAATCTTCGACGGTGTTTGTCGTTGATGGCGGGCTCATATTGCTCAAATATTGGTACTTTGCGTGCGTGCAAGCTCTACGAGGGCGCTATGTGCGATTCTGGACTAATTGTAATTCTTTCGGGTCCTACTACTAGACGCGCTGACACGCGTTGGATTGTCCAGCCACGCGCGGGGCGAACGGGGGGAATACCTAACGCGCGGGGCAGCGACAGCAATCCTTGTACTGTATAATATTGGTTTATGCTAAAATGTTGAAACCTTGAATGTCACATAATCTATATAATTACTTTATGCATTGACACATTCAATAAAAGGCTTATCTATATTGACCGACTTTGTCACGTGTAAATTCAGGCATGTCTTCTCGACCTCTAGGCAACACCCTCTGAAAAGGGTAATTAATAGCCGAGTTTAACGGCTTACGGGTTATGCATCCACACCGATTGTCCTTACACAGCATATCCTAGCTTAGGTAGGGTGGAGAATATAACTTTATTCTGAATTCGTTGGTCATTGGTACTGACAGGTATATATGAAAAAGTCGGGAGTACTACTCTGGAGTACTTCTCTTCTCACAGCGAGGGAACATTATTAAATACTCACTCCTTATTGTACAGCTCCTCAAACCATGTGGTCATTTCTCATTCTCCTAATGCCGAGAAAGAATCTGTGTGCTAAACCATGCTTGCCTCATGTTAAGTTTGTAATCATTTGCTTTATCCTTCGTTTGTAAAACTTACTCTGCACCCTACAATTTATTTCATTCAAATCAGTCTGCCTATTAAAGACAATATTAAATCATTATTTTTGTGTCTACCATTCAACAGGACCAATCTTGGTTTAGTGCTAATTTTATATTACATAACATCTATTACATTTTATTTACACCAAATATGTCACAAAAGGTAGAAAAGTTTGTGTTCTCAAATATTTATAGGGATATTTATGCTCTTGCATATTAACTCGTTTATTCTGGTAACTTTTATTTTTGTATTCTTTGATAAAGCAAAGACCAGTTATGAGGCCAGACAGAGTTTGTTGGGTTATATTGGATTTATGGTTGGTTTTTTTGGGTGGTGTGGATGGATAAACGTGTGACCATGAACTAGTATCTTTCTTCGTTATTCCTTTTATTTGTACTCTAACCCTTTGCACAACATTGAACTGAATGCATGTGATCTGAGCAAGTATCGTGTGAACGCCCTCCAGTGGCGAGCCCTGTATTGGCTCCGCCTCAATATTTTGTCATCCTATGCGGGATCAGTTTTGTTTTCATATACAGATTGAATCTGAATATAATTAATGTACATCTTTACAATTCGTTGCTGTATCTGACCAATTTGTTAATGCGAAGATTGTGATTTTTTCCCAGTTATTTACTTCTGTTGATAAATGTTTCTGCTGTTAGGGACGACGTCAAAATATCATTGTCGGATAAAAACTTAATCCTTTTTTACCCCCCCCCCCCCACTAAGACTTAATTGATACATATTGGTCATGGCGTCAGACTACATTCACCATTAAATACAAATTGATAATCGGACAGTAGTAACGCATAGCAGTTGGTTGTCGGGTGGGTGTAATGTCATGAATTTGTTTGCGTGTACCTGTTGATCGACTTATTTAGCTGATTACTAGCGAATGGCTTTGTTATGTCTGTCATCATTTAGGCTCATGCGAGGTCCTGGACGGAACTCGACTCAGTGATTTGGAACTAATTACGATATAACCGTTGCCATCCGGACCGCTATTTCAGACAGTTGGTATTCGCAGTTAGAAATATAGTGAACGATTAATTAAAAGATATGACGTGTCCAGTACTTAGTGTGATTGGTTGAATGTGTGAAGGCCACGCCTTAGAGTCTTTTAACTGCTTTGTAATTGGTTAAGGTTTTGAAAGTGAATAAAGTTGTTTTAGTTGGTCGTGGTGAGGACACCACGAGAGACGCAGTCTAGGAGAGTCTTGAGTCAGCCTTGTGATAGTCTTGGGGACTTTTCCCCAGGGCGCTGTGTCTTATAGAGTGCTCGACTGACCGACTAAAGACGAGAGTTGAAACGTATTTTGTTGTGTGCGTCTATTTGACTGTAAAGTTTAAGTGACGTTCCCGATCTCGTACCTCAAGGGGACGAGATATAGAGCCCAGACGAGATTCCCTCCTGACACGTGTGGAGAACCTCAGAGGAGAAGAATTTCCCCGTGATAGTAAAAAGACTTTACAAATGCACCTTATTTGACGCACATATTTACACTCGAACCAAACCATTTTCTCGTCTTGGATTTTTTTTTCTTTTCAGTTATTTCTGTCCATGATTGGATAGAAAAAAACGAACTACAAATACTCCAATATTTGTTTATTAAAAAATAAAATCGTTTTTGTAGGATGAACACTTTTTGAGGTCAAACCTAACACCCCAACTCCCAAACTAAAGCCAATAATTTTTTTATCCGACATCGATCTTTTGACGTCGTCCCTTACTGACAACCAAATTAAGTGGCTAAACTGCAATGGGATGCATGCTTTGTAATTATAATTTTGAGACAATGTCTGCAACTATTATATAAATGCATATTTGCAGTACTGCTAGACAATTGTCAAATTATGGAGATATTGCGAAGCATTGGAAATTTAGCGGCCATTTTTTTAATGCAAATTAGACCATTACAAATTCAAAATATCGCTTGGGAACCATGTTTAACATAATGCGTATTGTAATGCTCCACTATACAAAGCTGTCTTGGTTAAAATAATGAGTTACAAATTTGAAGAGACATAATGATGTTAAAAATTGACTTTTGCATAATTTTCCATTCTGTTAAGAACCCTATACTGGCACCACTTAATACGTACCGGCAATTCAAGTCACATGATTCATTTGTTTGTCTATTCCATATCATTTTCATATATTTTTCGTTTGAATGTTCAGACACGCTGACCAAAATGCCCCAGCTTGATTTGATTTGCATCCCTTATTTATTAATAGCCCGGATTTTGCTCGCGTGGGAACACAACATTCTCACTCTAGAACGTTGAACGATAATATACAAGGAATGACTTTCTGTTCATTTGAACTGTCAAGGTATCCTTGAACGAGGGATCTCACATGTTACACAATGTTACACTTAATTATGTTACTATGATAATATCAGATTGTGTCTCACTTCTTCATTCATTGATTTTACGGTTTAATATTGGGATTTAGAACAGTGTTTTGCTGTAGACAAATGAATTAAATAGAAAAAGACAATTACATTCCCCTTTATGTATTTTAATTATTATATTTTGTACAGCAATTCTCGAACAAGCATGATTTTACATAAACTATTTTTGAATATATAGTCATGCATTTCACCCAAAACTAAAATTGAATAAAATATACCTTCAAGCTTGCTAAGTATAAGTACTTTTGCTATTGTAATAGAAACTGAAAAAAGTACAACAGTGTACTGTTAGATTGAACATTGCTATGCAGTAACTCATATGATATGTATCATTTTGAAATGACCAGCTAATATATATTATGATGATCAGAAAAAAGATCATTTCTAATGAAACAGTTATGATTAGACCCTAAATTTCATTTGATTAAAAATCCCAAACCACGAAACCGATCTATTGAACCATGCAATCCATCGATGTGATATTTCTACTCACATCTAAAAAAAAAAATATATATATTAACTGAAAAACATTGACAGGAATAACAATGACATATTTTATTAAAGCACCATGCTCTCACTCTAATGTGTATGGTGTAATATAGTATACTCTGTGTTGAGCAATTGATAATGGATATGCATCATCCATAGTTGTTGCATGGCCTATGATATACCCCCTTGGTAGAATACAACTGTGTCGACAGTAAGTCTCACATTTACCATGTCTTACCTCATGTCAGCTACTTTCCAAGTATCTCCAAATTCATTCACATCTTTGGAAACTTTGCCATCAGACATCATGAAATCATTGTGGGAATCACCATCAGCGTTGCCAAGCAAACCACCAACTTTTCCACGGTATGCTGTTCCAGAAACGTCTGCAGTGAAGATGTGTTTCCTTCCATTCCAATGCAAAGTGAACGTGGTATCCTTCACCGTGAATGATATCATCACAGTATTGTTATTGGAGCTAACATCTATTTGTCTTTTCCAGGGCTTAAAATCGTTGTTATTACCCTATGGTATAAACATATACAATCAGTGATTTTCAACAATTTACAATTTGTTACTCGGACTTGTTTCACCTATTAAACACAATCGGTGTTATCATTTTTAGAATTATATTACATACATATTGTTATATTACAAATAAATATTTATTTTATTTGGAATTATTATTTATTTGGAATATTTAAGTACAGAAATCATGCTTCCCCCATAATGCGTGCATGGCAAGGATGTTCATTTACAAAAATTTAATCCTAATATTACACAATTAAAATCTAATACCTTCTAATTATTTATTCAGATGGAAAGACTATGTAGTCATAAAACACATATAACCTTTCAAGGTGGTATTTTTATACTTACAGATACTTTGTTGTTTTTGTCCACAATGATGCTTTCTTTGCCAACAGTTACATTCACAGCAACAGTTCTCGTCTTCAGACCGTCAATATCATCCCGGGGAGCAAAATGAGCACGGATTTCAAATTCAGGATTAGTATTGGAGCAGTCTTTTACCAGTGTATGCCAACACGTACCTTGGAAACTATATGCACGTCCGTCAAAAGTTGTCAAATGAGGATCACCACTTACAACTAAATTTTTCAAACAAATGAAACAGTACCAGTTGAATTGTGAACGTTGAAGCTTTCTGTACTATTTATTTTTAATTTGAAAGTAACAGAATACACGTGGCATTCAATATGTATGTATAAATAAAATGATATTCAGTATGTTCTCTCTTTAGAACAGACATAGAATATTGAACTCGTCTCATGTGCTTTTTATAGTTATTACATTTAAAAAAAATTGTATATTGATTAACATTATGCTGTATTTAATTTACATAATATCCAAATATTCCAAGAGCACCACATAGTGAGTAAGTAGCTGTTATTTCTGGAATTTACGTACCTGCTGGACATTTAGTACATAGCTTCTCAGCTTCTATTATTTCGTCAGGCGACAACGCACGATTATATACTTGCATACATGTTACCAAACCTTTATAATACCGGGAATCGAAAGTAACCGCTCCCATACGAGCTTCGTACTGAGTTTCAATTTCCACTGAACCAATATTACCACTTTTCACTACAGCACCATTCAAATATAGTTTTTCCTCGCCACTGTAGTAGTCGTACGTTACGCCAAAAAAATTCCAGTCGTTCTGGACGAGTACATTGGCTTTTAGTTCTGCAGTAGATGAAAAGTCGTTGCGTCCTGTCAGGCGGACAAATCCCTCATTGGGACCGGTTTGCCACAAATGGCTCCCCCAGTTATTTCGCTTATAATGAAATAGTGGACCTGCTACACCGGTGGGGTAAACGTATACCAGCAATGTTGTTGAAAAGCGTGTATCGAATCTACCGTTGTTGGGAAATTCGATGTATGATCCGCTATTACCAGAGAAGCTGTACGCACTACAAATATCACCATGTTTTGTATTATCAACTGTAACACCAGTTGGAAGACCGTCATTTGAATCGATTTGATCAATGGTGCCTTGCTCTGCATTCAAAGGCCAGAATGCAACCATAGATGGATCTATTTAAAAAAAATAACAATGTGTTATACTCACTCACTCACTCACTCACCCACCCACCCACCTGCTCGCTCGCTTGCTTGATCACTCGACATAACAATCAACCACCCATTAATCATTAGTCGATGCATCTATTAATAGCCTCAGCTATTCACTCACTATTCTATTGGAATATTTACATACCGTAACTCCTTTTTTGAAATACTTTCTGAAACGAAACGAAATGAAATATATAAAATAAACATATCATACATATATTCCCGTTTATTTGACGGGACATGAAGGTTGTCTGATAGAGAGAATGCGATTTATTTAAAGGTTACAGGCCATTAATTCACATTTTAGCCAGTTATTTTTTGTTTTGTTTACTAAACATATATCAAACTAAATACTGGTAGATATAATAACTTGCATGTGGTGTTGGTGTTGGTATTCCAGGCCTGGAACCGAAATGCTTGAAAGCATTCGTGTCAATTGAAACGAATTTGAAAAAGAAGAATTTATAATAAAAGTGCTGGAAAGGGACAACGACTAAGGCTATACCATCTTTAACTAAGTGCATCAACACACGCTTCTCTGATCTTCTGATGTAGAAGCTAACTGGCGAATACAACATGTCTCCTGTAGAAGGTATGTTTCAGAATCAGATTATAAACTAATCAATACTTTATCGAACTTAAATATTTGTACTAATATTCTACAATGAGCTGGATACAAATCAACAGGATATTAATTTGAGAGGTTTCTAAATATCTTAGCTCTGAATAATCGCATGTTATTTCTTCCTGCATCTGAATCTGATGATGGACAAATATGAAACAACAAACAGAAATGGTGAACTGAACGACAACTGAAAAAGCACTGTAAACAGAAAATGTGCTGTATTTCATACACAACTCCAGTGCAAACCAAAATGAATCAACTTTGAAGAGACCGGAAATCGTTCTAACAAGCCTTATGTCAAAGCATAGCCTAATTATCTTCCAGTGAATATCAATTATTATAAGTATTAGGGTATGCGAGGCACCAACATTTGGTGACAATCACGGCCCAAATAACAAAATTTGTTCTCTGAAACAAATTCACAAAACATAGTAATAGCAAAGTTAATCCATAATTTATGGCCAACTAAACCTAACATAAGCACATATACACTAGTTCAAAATTATTGGAAAAGGAGCCCCTTGCCCAATATGAAACATAATTTAAGTAGCTTTCTACTAGTGACCCCGGACA